TTAAAGTAGAGTTGTATCTCTTGAGAAGAGTTATGTTTAAGAAGAGTTGTATCTCTTTAGAAGTCAAGAGTTGTGTCTGCAACTCTTGGAACTAATCCAAGAGTTATGTCTGTTATGAAAAGATCTGAATATTATTATAAATAGCCAATAAGATGGCCTAGTGTTGTAATCAATTTTTAGGAAATCAATAAAGCTTCAGTATTTCTGTTTAAAACTCTCTTCCATATTCTCTCTTATCCATCTTTCTCCAACAATCATTCCATGAGCTCATGACATGAAGAGGGGTGATTCTTTTCTTCAAGTCCAGCAGCGCCGCGAGATCAGTTTCATTTCCGAAAGTACTACCACTGGCCCTGGGTGGTAGAGTTGCAGATTCCAGAGGAATGCTCATGCTCATGCATAAAAGAACGAACCCATGAAGGAATGCAAACAAAATCTGCCTACCCTGAGTAGTGCGTGAATGCTTCTGCATCCTTTTTGTAAATAAATACTGAGCAAATCGGAAACCAATAAGTGTCTGTTTCCTTTCCTTGCTAGTTGCTGCGCATCATCCTGGCTGGTGATGTGTTGAGTATGTGATACATGAGATGAGATGCTGAATAATCTGTCCGTCCACAGGGACAGGGGGACCTTTCCTTTGCTTGTCTATGACTATGTATGTATGTTTTGAGTGACTTATCCTGGGCTGGACCTTGTGAATTGTGAACTGATGTGCATAACGCGTAGTGACATTAAGATCCAACGGTCCACGAACCACGACTACCACACACTCGTGTTCAACGCAAACACTGACACGTTAACACAACACGGACACGTGATATACCATTTAAGGACAGCAATATCAACCACTAATGAATGGCCAGGGAAGAAAACTTGATATAACTAACAAATGTGAGGACCAACCAAATTAGAGTACTTGTTGAAGACCAAATTTGCTGAGCTGTTATAGTGGTTCAACTAATTTGCTGGTAAATTGATTGTTGTGATTACTGCGCTGTGGAATCAGCTAGAGTGAGAAGTGAGGTTAGTCATTGATCCGTTTTTTGAGCGATTATGACGAAGCCCAACACAACACTAATCCGTTTCTAGAAGAACCTGGTCGTCTGCTTACTCTGTAACGTTTACAATTTTCTAGGGTTATTCTAGTTATTCAATAAGGCCACATAGACAACATCTGATTTGCAAGGAAATCTTGTACTTGACTGATTATTGAATGAAGTTTTTCACCTTCTTGATCCTAAAAAGAAAAAACAAGGTGGGAACTCTTCTTCCTTTTTCTCCAACATGCAACATGCTACTTTGGTCTTCTTGTGATTTGATTGAATTATATATTGTAACCAGTCTAACCTCTCTGATTGCTATACACATTGAGAGAAACCCTTTCCATTCAATTCTTCCAGGGCGATGTTCATATCGTATGTAGAAGAGGCCCAACTAATTCATAGAACAGACAAGAGCATCTATTATTCTTGCAAGCTTGTGGAAAACCCTTTTTTTTTTTTTTTTTTTTTT